AATAGTAATAATAATAATAATAATAATAATATATATAATAGTAATAATAATAATAATAATAATAATATATAATAGTAATACAAATATATATATAATAGTAATAATAATAATAATAATAATAAATATATAATAATAATAATAAAATATATAATAATAATAATAATAATAATAATAATAATAATAATAATAATAATAATAATAATAATAATAATAATAAAATATATAATAGCAATAATAATAATAAAAAAATTAGATACTTTTTTTCTTTAATTTCTAGAAGTAATATTTTCATTAGTGGGAAAAAATGAATCAATCAATGGATAAACGAACCAACCAACCAACCAACAAATCAATCTACCAGTCATTCCCTCATTCATTTTCTTTTCAGCTTAGTCCCTTCAGTAATCCGAGGTCGCCACAGTGGATGCCTTTACAGCAGATGCCCTTCCAGCTGTAACCCATCACTGGGAAACATTCATAAACAAACATAGCCTACCAAATTCACCTATAGCACATGTGTTTGGACTGTGGAGGAAACCCACGCCAACACGGGGAGAACATGCAAACTCCACACAGAAACGCCAACTGACTTAGCTGAGGCTCGAACAAGCGACCTTCTTGCTGTGAGGCGATCGTGCTACCCACTGCGCCACCATGCAGCCCAATCTATCAATCATTCCTTAAATATTTGTAGTAACATTTAATAAACATATAAATATTTTAATGATAAAAAATAAATAAATATTTGTGTTTATATCGTGTAATTAAAGCCAAAAGCGCATTTAAAACAAAACATTTTAACAACAAATACTAAGGAAACCAAACAAAAAACGTAAACTATTAAAATAAAAAATTATAATTAAATTGTGTAATATTACATTTACATTTAGTCATTTAGCAGACGCTTTATTTATTTATGGTACACAATATTATTAAATATTTAATAGTACATTTATAAAATATTATTAAAATGTTAAATAAATTAAATATTGTTTAAATATATAAATATTTAAAATAATATTTAATTAATGTAATATTTTATATTTTAATTATATTTTATAATATTGTTTTATAAATTAATAATAGTGTGTATTAAATAGCGTATGTAAAACAAACACAAATGGCATCATCAGTAAATAACCCATCAGCCTCTTTGCTTTCGTCTTCACAGTATTTGCCAGTACATAAATCATCAGACAGTGTTTCTCCAACACAAAATCCTCCAGAAATAGCCTTCTCAGAGAAAAGTGTGATTTTGAGTTCATCCACACTCAGGTGAATTTACAGCATCTTTAACAAGCGGCACATTTGAGTTGCTATTAAAGGTCCTGTGAAGTGCTTTGAAATGTGCATTGTCATTCGATGTTTGGCGTAATCTGAACTCAAACATGAAGAGAGGGCGGGGCATTAAGTAGCTCCTCCCCTTTATTAAAAAACAGCCAATAGCGAGTTTTTTCATCACAGCTCTGCCAGTGAGAGTGGTTTGAGCGCAAGCACATCAAATGAACAGCCAATGAGAAGAAGGTGATGAGAACCTGAAGTATGAGGTCAAATAAATACTTAATCCATTTTGGTGGATATGACAAACTGCAAACTTTGGATGTTTATATCAGGGTTGTGATGTGAATTTTGTCACAGTTTTGAAGCACAGTAGATTATAGATGTCCCTAATACTAACATACTGATACTAACATCTAGATAACTGTATTTTAATTTCACGGGACATTTAATCATGGAGTGTTTCTGCTCTTCCACAGACCATTGTGCGGGGCAGTATGATTGGCCACGGGGATTACATCTCTGCCATGTTGTCCGACATGAGCCGTCTGTCAGTCACCAGCTCCAACTCTCTGCGGAAAAGCAGCCCGTCGGCCCGCAAGAGAGCGCAGTCTTTGGGCCGGCTAGGGGAGCTGAACGAGGCAGATGGTAGGACTGTTTTATATATATATTAGGGTTGGGTGACGTTGGCCATTTTGGCATTGTACGATGTCTAATGTGAAACATCGTGATGGATGATGGCATCATCGTCGTAGGTGGGGTTGGGGGTGGTTGTTGAACATCAATTAATTCATAACAAATTAATAACAGATTAATTAATTGTAGCCTACCGTTTTTCATAAAACCCGATAAATGAAGAGAACTCAAACCAACTGAGTATTATAACACCCAATAAGTTGGGGCAACTCAATTTGAGTGAGCCGATTGCAACAAACCATTTGAGTTAAACTACTATATATGAGTACTGTGAACTTAATCTATTTCAGTTGAAGTAATGAGGTATTTATTTAACTCATTACCTTAAACACTGAGTTCAAAACTCTTTTCAAATGAGTAAAATTAACTTTCAGTCAATTTTGCAACCCAAGCTGATTCTGAAAACGTAGTCCCCCGGACGTTTCTGGAGACCGCGATTTACGTGGCCGGAGGTACATATGGCCACAATTCATTTGTGACGCCGCTCCTCTTTACGCTCGCCGGCTAAGCTGATGGCTCGCCTCCTCCATGTGGAGGGCTTTCCCGCTGCAACCAGTTTGTCTGGTTAGCTTATTGTGTTACGTCGGTGGAGCGATGCCCGGAGAAGCAGGAGGAGCCGGCAGCGTTCGACGACCGAGTTCGAGTCCGGGGAAGAGCGGATCCAGAAATCAGGTAACACAAAAAACAGAATCCAAAAAATAAAGCGAACACGTTCGTTACAGGGCAAGAATGTGGTGAAATCCGAAAACGCGGTCAAAATCAGACGAGGGCTTTTTTTTTCTGCACGGCTTTTGTAAATCGTCGCTTGGGTTTAGGGAAGAAGGAGGACGAGGAGGAAGAGGGTGGCTGGGTCTGCCGATTGGCCGGCCGCCCAGTCAAACGTTCAGTCATTCAACCAGTCGGAAAGACGGTTGCTCGACAGCAGCCTCTCGCGGACTCGCAAAAACAAAAACTGCACCAAATACGTACCTCCCGGGACGTATTTCGCGGTCTCCAGAAACGTCCGCGGGGCTACGTTTCCAGAATGAGCTTGGGTTGCAATTTTGAGTTAACTACACTCATTTCATATATCCTTTCATTCATTCAATGCATATATCTGCAGATAAAAATAATCTATAAATACAAATCCAGTATTTGTAATTAGAGTAAACTACTTTGAAAATTCTTGTAATAAGTTACTTTTCTGGATTACATTGTTACATATTGTTTACACATGGCAGTAAACAGTTACTAAGAGCTCTATTTTAACAATCTAGACGCAAAGTCCAAAGCGCAGGGCGCAAAAGCATTAAGGGCATGTCAGAATCCACTTTGCTTTTTTAAGGATGGAAAAATCTGCTCTGTTCCACGGCACATGTTCTAACAGGGTTGTGCTTATTCTCTTAATGAATTATAGGTGTGTTTTGAGAATGAACCAATCAGAGTCTCATCTCCCATATCCTTTAAGAGTCAGTTGCGTTGCACCATGGAGCATTTGCTATTTACATGACGACTTTGTAAGTGGAAAAACTGAACATTTCACTAGCGAGAAAACAGTTAAACAGAGCATCTGCAGCACGAAAATGAGAGATAAGCCTCTTCATTCTTTACTTTTACTTTCACTCTCTTTCGTGGAAAAGGAAATGTGTTGTACACACAGACATCAATTAGCCTATAAATAATTAATTTAGTTTGTTAAGCGCAAAGATTTGTTTTAAAACTATTTCTAAATTCAGTTTTAATTTCCAGCAAAAGAATACATAAACAATAATAAAGAAGTGTGCTCAAACAACGGAGTTATATCCTAAAACACATGCTGCCCCATATGGTCTGAAACCTGACAGGTGGGCAAATCTAAGCTTGTTTTTAATAAAACAAATATAAATATGCATATAATAAATAATTCTACTGCTTATAATAATGACATTATACAAAAGCAAATTGTCATAAATAAACTGAAAAAGCCCCTGAGATGAAGAAGGCATGAAGGCAGAGGTTTTTATATTGATGTAGAAAATAATATTTTTTGTTATACTTTAATTTAATAACTTTAATTCTTTTTTTATTTGTACAGATATTTGCGTATTGATCTACATCCTATGTGTATTAAGCAGTGTGTAAGCGAGGCGCACAACTAACGCACTCTGCGCTGGACAATAGACCTCCTCTCAGCTGCTCTATTGTGCAGTCTATTTAGTTCCTCAAAAAAGCAACGCGCCAGCAAAGAACCTTAACACATTTCTTATCTAGACCGAAACACCCATGAGTCCACAAAGGGGTTGCAAATGGATTTGCTAATTGAACAACATGGCGGAAAACATGAATATTATAGTCTGAAAATAGCAACACGTCATAGAAACACGTCTTGGACCTTATTGCGCTGGGTGTATGATAGGGCCCTTAGAGATAATCTAAGAATTATTTAATTATTTCAAATTATAGATCATGGTTAATCTGGATTACATAATTAGATTACAAAAATCCAGCACGTGTAATTTGAGTAAACTACTTTTTAAAATATTTGGACAGTTATTACAGTTACTTTTTTGGATTACATGATTATGTATTATTTACACAATGGCAGTAAATGGTTCACAATGACTAGCAGATAATCTAAGAGATATATATATTATGTCAGATTATTTCAGTTAATGGATCATGTGTGATCTAAATTAGCCTCATCTGTCACGGTTGTGGTGGGGAAAAGGAGCGAAGACTCAGGTGCAGCAAATAATGGGTATTTATTAATAATAAAATAAAAATATAAGGCAAAACAAAACTACCCTGAGGGAGAAAACATTAACAAAGCACACAAACTTGGCTGGGCTGGCAGGACAAGGCAAGGCAAGACTGGAGCAGGAACACAGGGGATGTGTAGACGACGAACTGGCACAGGACTGAAAACATGAGGGGATTATAAAGCAAAAGTAAATTGACAAACAGGTGAACATGACAAACTAATAATGAGTTAACAAGGAGGGTGGGACTAGACAATAGACGGGAGAGCGCATGACACAGAGAGACAACACAAGCCATGCGCTCACATAAAACAGGACAACAACATGCAGCCAATGAGAGAACTCATTAACTACGTGTTCAAGACAACACAAGCACAACACTGAAGCACGTGACCACAATGTAAACACATAGCCACGTGCTTTGACAACAGACGCAAGACACGAGCACACAATGAATGAAAACACTCACCGTGCGCTCACACGCAGCGTGCATGCTTCATCCCAGCGCCGACCAAAACCGAAACCAACTAGACTGAAACGCTGGGAATGAAACACCACGCTGCAGACAGACGAAAACACAAACATGAGTACAAGAGCGCGCGTGTCCGAGGCATGCAAAGCAGGCATCAAGCGGGAGCGCGCACTCTGCGTACACTCGACGGCGCGCGCACACAGAGACAGAAACTAGTGCTCGACCCAAGAAAACTCGAGTCGAGCACAACAGGACTAGACATGACTAGAGTCCGGATTCCGCCACCAAAACAAGAATTTACAAGACCAGAGTGGCAGAACCCTGACATCATCACCACATTAGGTGTGCATTATCGCTTAATAATTTTACAGCTTGTTGTCAATTATTACACTGCAGAAAAACTAAATGTTACAACGTCAGTTTTTACGGTAACACTTTACAATAAGGCTGCATTAGTTAATGTTTGTTAATGCATTTACTAACATGAACAAACAACAAACAATACATTTATTACTGTGTTTATTTATCTTCGTTAACATTAGCTAATGAAAATACAGTTGTTCATTGTTAGTTCATGTTAACTCAGTGCATTAACTAATGCATACATTTGGATTTTAATAATGCATTAGTGAACTACTACTTAATAAATACAATACAAGATTAGTTCATTATTAGTTATGTAGGTAAATACATTGGTCACACTTTATGTTGATGGTCCATTTGCTGAATTAAGTTACATTGCATCTACATGCCAACTAATTCTCATTAGATTATAAGTAAACAACTGTCAAAGGGTTAGTGTAAGTTGACATGTACTTGCAAAGTTTCTTATAGTCAGTTAAATGTCTGTTGAAGGAGCTGTATCAGCAGATATTAAGCAGACAGTCTACTAATACTTAAATGAAGCAACAAAATACCAAAACATTAACTAATGAAACCTTATTTTAAAGTGTGACCATATTAGTTAATGAAAATACAGTTGTTCATTGTTAGTTCATGTTAACACATATGCAACACACGTTTTGTCAATATCAGCTATGTTACTGAATGCATTAACTAATAAAACTTTATTGTAAATGTGACTTTTTTTTTTGTGGATATAATGCAGCATTAGGCGATGGGTACCAGTATGAGACTCTGGATGATCCTGAGCCGCACTGGTCTGAGCGGGCACGAAACATCCACAGCGCCAGCGGGACACCGTACATGGGGCTGAAAAAAAGCGTGACTCTACAACCCAACGGCATTTTACCCAGGGCTAAATCCACCTATGAGGTTAGCATGAGCTGTTTGGATGGCCCATTGCCACCTCATCCAGCGCTCCCGCCCCCCCCACCACCCCCATTTCCTGTCCCGGAACCACCGCGGCCTCTTTATCTAGCCGGAGACATTGGCAGCCCGACGGAGAGGCTGATGATGAGGAGAGAGTTTCCCATAATATTCACACACAACCCCAGACCCATCACCTGTTTCTACAGTCCCACACAGATGCCCATGCAGCAGCCGCATGGAGACAGTCTGACGCCAGACATGAGGAGCGCCAACAGACTGCTGGTTCATCCGCAGAACAGCCCCGGCAGACCCTTCTCATCATACGATCTCAAGGTAATCCAGTGCATGACGACATGAAGGGAATGAGAGAAGAGTCGGTTAAAGTTAATATAATCTCGGAATTGTGTTTTCAATGATTTCTTTCATGCTCAACTTGATAATAGAAAGACTTCTGTCAAAAACAAAAAACATCTTATGGGGGAAATCATAAATATGGGAAAAAGATGTAAATTCCACAATCTGAGTAAAAAAGTCCAAATTATGAGTCATAAATTCTGTAATCTGGGTAAAAAAGTCAAAATTATGAGTCATAAATTCTGTAATCTAAGAAAAAAAAAATCCAAATTATAAGATGTAAAATCAACAATCGGAGTAAAAATCCAAATTATGTGATGAAAATTCCACAATCTGAGTAAAAAAGTCTAAATTATGAGTCATAAATTCTGCAATCTGAGAAAAAAATTTCAAATTATGAGACATAAATTCTGTAATCTGAGTAAAAAATTGTAATTATGAGATGAAAATTCCACAATCTGAGTAAAAAAGTCCAAATTATGAGTCATAAATTCTGTAATCTGGGTAAAAAAGTCAAAATTATGAGTCATAAATTCTGTAATCTGAGAAAAAAAATCCAAATTATGAGTCATAAAATCAACAATCTGACTAAAAAAGTCCAAATTATGAGACATAAATTCTATAATCTGAGTAAAAAAAATCCAAATTATAAGATTTAAAATCAACAATCGGAGTAAAAATCCAAATTATATAATGAAAATTCCATAATCTGAGTAAAAAAGTCTAAATTATGAGACATAAATTCTGTAATCTGAGTAAAAAAAATTCAAATTATGAGACAAATTCTTTAATCTGAGTAAAAAATTTTAATTATGAGACATAAATTCTGTAATCTGAGTAAAAAAGTCCAAATTATGAGACATAAATTCTGTAATCTGAGTAAAAAAAATTATAAGATGTAAAATCAACAATCGGAGTAAAAATCCAAATTATGTGATGAAAATTCCACAATCTGAGTAAAAAAGTCTAAATTATGAGACATAAATTCTGTAATCTGAGTAAAAAAATTTAATTATGAGACATAAATTCTGTAATCTGAGTAAAAATTTCAAATTATGTGATGAAAATTCCACAATCTGAGTAAAAAAGTCCAAATTATGAGTCATAAAATCAACAATCTGAGAAAAAGTCTAAATTATGAGACATAAATTCTTTAATCTGAGTAAAAATGTTTAATTATGAGACATAAATTCTGTAATCTGAGTAAAAAAGTCCAAATTATGAGACATAAATTCTGTAATCTGAGTAAAAAAGTCCAAATTATGAGACATAAATTCTGTAATCTGAGTAAAAAAGTCCAAATTATGAGACATAAATTCTGTAATCTGAGTAAAAAAAATTATAAGATGTAAAATCAACAATCGGAGTAAAAATCCAAATTATGTGATGAAAATTCCACAATCTGAGTAAAAAAGTCTAAATTATGAGACATAAATTCTGTAATCTGAGTAAAAAAATTTAATTATGAGACATAAATTCTGTAATCTGAGTAAAAATTTCAAATTATGTGATGAAAATTCCACAATCTGAGTAAAAAAGTCCAAATTATGAGTCATAAATTCCACAATCTGAGAAAAAGTCTAAATTATGAGACATAAATTCTTTAATCTGAGTAAAAAATTCAAATTACGAGATGAAAATTCTACAATCTGAGTAAAAAAGTCAAAATTATGAGACATAAATTCTGTAATCTGAGTAAAAAAATTCAAATTATGAGACAAATTCTTTAATCTGAGTAAAAATGTTTAATTATGAGACATAAATTCTGTAATCTGAGTAAAAAAGTCCAAATTATGAGACATAAATTCTGTAATCTGAGTAAAATTTTTTAATTATGAGACATAAATTCTGTAATCTGAGTAAAAAAGTCCAAATTATGAGACATAAATTCTGTAATCTGAGTAAAAAAGTCCAAATTATGAGACATAAATTCTGTAATCTGAGTAAAAAAGTCCAAATTATGAGACATAAATTCTGTAATCTGAGTAAAAAAGTCCAAATTATGAGATATAAATTCTGTAATCTGAGTAAAAAAGTCCAAATTATGAGACATAAATTCTGTAATCTGAGTAAAAAAGTCCAAATTATGAGACATAAATTCTGTAATCTGAGTAAAAAAAATTATAAGATGTAAAATCAACAATCGGAGTAAAAATCCAAATTATGTGATGAAAATTCCACAATCTGAGTAAAAAAGTCTAAATTATGAGACATAAATTCTGTAATCTGAGTAAAAAAATTTAATTATGAGACATAAATTCTGTAATCTGAGTAAAAATTTCAAATTATGTGATGAAAATTCCACAATCTGAGTAAAAAAGTCCAAATTATGAGTCATAAAATCAACAATCTGACTAAAAAAGTCCAAATTATGAGACATAAATTCTATAATCTGAGTAAAAAAAATCCAAATTATAAGATTTAAAATCAACAATCGGAGTAAAAATCCAAATTATATAATGAAAATTCCATAATCTGAGTAAAAAAGTCTAAATTATGAGACATAAATTCTGTAATCTGAGTAAAAAAAATTCAAATTATGAGACAAATTCTTTAATCTGAGTAAAAAATTTTAATTATGAGACATAAATTCTGTAATCTGAGTAAAAAAGTCCAAATTATGAGACATAAATTCTGTAATCTGAGTAAAAAAGTCCAAATTATGAGACATAAATTCTGTAATCTGAGTAAAAAAGTCCAAATTATGAGACATAAATTCTGTAATCTGAGTAAAATTTTTTTAATTATGAGACATAAATTCTGTAATCTGAGTAAAAAAGTCCAAATTATGAGTCATAAATTCTGTAATCTGAGTAAAATTTTTTTAATTATGAGACATAAATTCTGTAATCTGGGTAAAAAAGTCCAAATTATGAGACATAAATTCTGTAATCTGAGTAAAAAAAATTATAAGATGTAAAATCAACAATCGGAGTAAAAATCCAAATTATGTGATGAAAATTCCACAATCTGAGTAAAAAAGTCCAAATTATGAGTCATAAATTCCACAATCTGAGAAAAAGTCTAAATTATGAGACATAAATTCTGTAATCTGAGTAAAAATGTTTAATTATGAGACATAAATTCTGTAATCTGAGTAAAAATTTTTAATTATGAGACATAAATTCTGTAATCTGAGTAAAAAAGTCCAAATTATGAGACATAAATTCTGTAATCTGAGTAAAAAAAATTATAAGATGTAAAATCAACAATCGGAGTAAAAATCCAAATTATGTGATGAAAATTCCACAATCTGAGTAAAAAAGTCTAAATTATGAGACATAAATTCTGTAATCTGAGTAAAAAAATTTAATTATGAGACATAAATTCTGTAATCTGAGTAAAAATTTCAAATTATGTGATGAAAATTCCACAATCTGAGTAAAAAAGTCTAAATTATGAGACATAAATTCTGTAATCTGAGTAAAAAAATTTAATTATGAGACATAAATTCTGTAATCTGAGTAAAAATTTCAAATTATGTGATGAAAATTCCACAATCTGAGTAAAAAAGTCCAAATTATGAGTCATAAATTCCACAATCTGAGAAAAAGTCTAAATTATGAGACATAAATTCTTTAATCTGAGTAAAAAATTCAAATTACGAGATGAAAATTCTACAATCTGAGTAAAAAAGTCAAAATTATAAGATGTAAATTCCACAATCTGAGCAAAAAAATGCTAATTATGAGACATTAATTCTATAATCTGAGTAAAATTATGAGATGTAAAAAAAAAAAAAATTATAAACAGAAATTCTATAATCTCAGTAAAAAAAGTACAAATAATAACAACGTAAATTCCACAATCTGAGTTAAAAAATCCAAATGATGGATTTTTACAATGTGAAATGAGAGAAAAGCCAGTTAAAATTAAAAATATTCTCAGAATTCCGAATATGACATCACGAAATTCTGTTTTCACCGATTGCTTTGATGTCTGCCTTGACCACATATACCAAAGGAATGATATAACAGAACATTTTAGCAGTTTTGAAACCTTCACATTTCCAAACCTTGAAACCGGTTATCATCTCATGCCTAGTGACAACCCATGACACCTTTCAATGAGCCTGGGTTGATTTATTTGCAGTGTAATACACCATGTTTTTCTCTCTCTCTCTCACTACATCAGTCAGACTCTGGCATGCGCCCGCCGGCGGGTTTCCTCCACAGCGGCACCAGCAGTCCTCTAGTCAGCGGCGGGCGGCATCAAGCCTCCGTCAGGTCCTCCTGCAGCTACACCCTCGGCCTCTCCCCCAACATCAGCTATCGGCCGCCGGCTCCAGACCCCTTCATGCGGCACTCAGGCCTGTACCCCCGGCAGGACAGCCCGTCGCAGCCACGCCCATCGCCCACAGGCTCTCTGGCACACAGTCCCCCGGGCACCTGCTCGCCTGCATTCAGAGCCCCGCAGCAGCCCTCACCCCGCCCACCGCCCGACCCACCCAAAGTCACACATGAGCAGTTCAAGGTGGACCATTGTCAGATTCAAGTTTTCTCTTTTATACTACACTGTTGCTATAACACTCATGATGCATGCAAACATCTGCCCACTATTTTTATTTTTACATTTTTATGCATTTATGCCTTTTTAAATTAAACGTACTGGGTTTTAATTCTCCTAATGCATGCAAAATAAATAAAAACATATGAAAACATTCAAGTTTTATGCATGAATCTCCTATTTTAACACTCGTCATGCATGCAAAATCTGTGTACTCTTTTCAGATTCAAGTTTCATTTGGCTCTTCTATATAACATTGCTGCTATTTAAAGGGCACCTATTTTACCACTTTTTTAAGATTTAATATTAGTACAGGGCTCAAAATGAACCTTTTTGCTTGGTAGCACCAGTGCTCCTAAATTTAAAAATGTGACAAAATCAGTCAAAATTTTGTCGCACCCACCAATTATGAGCACCATTACTACAAGTTTTATACATAGTTATTGCATTTGAAATCAACAGTAATCAAACTAACGAGGAAAATAAATATATATGTAAGCGTGAGGAAAACATGTCTCAAGGAAATCCCGTTATCACAAGAAAATAGATTTTTATAACAGAACTGAGTGACTAAAGGATACACGGAGCGCTCACCGGCCCTGCACGCACTGCTGGACATGAATGAATCTGTTAACGGTATAACTGTGCTGTTCTCACGGGTGCTGTCTGATATTGCACTGATGCTTTTGACACATACTGATCCTTATTATATGCATACATCATGTTAATAGCAATACCGGTCTTTTCATGAGTAGCGATGTTAGTTTACTCAGTGTAAGCCTGTTTGCGATGGTGTACGTGGTGTTCAATTTGACGTATAGCTGCCACTTGCACGGCGGACAGCATCTGGCGATTATATGAAGGATTAAACAGAAGCTCTCGTGCTAGATGTGGCAAACAGTTACCTGAAAACTCCATCCCACAGACTTTTCATAGCGAACTTGAAGCCAATGGAAGTCTTTTATCCACTCTTGGAAAAGTGTAGATGGTGGATTAACATTCAGCACATGATCACTAGTAAGATGTGTCATTATTTGTCACTTTAGGTGGTTTCTAAAACACAATCTGTCAGTGTTATCTTCATTCTCATCTTCAGCGCTTTACGATGTTTCGTGGTAGTAGCTCTCTCCCTGTCATCCCAAGCCAGAAGGCGCTGACTGAGTGATTGACAGCTGATATTAACCAATCATTCGCGTTCAGTATTAGAGCAGGGGAGGGCCAATAAGAAGAGTGCGAAGGCGGGGCAAGCATTACGGACTTGGCTTTGTTTACTGCAGCAAGATGACATGACAACTGTTTTAAACCATTCCTGAGTGCTGCGTTTCCCGTTTCAAGTGCAGAGATGCATTCTGCATGAATGTCTCCCGAATCAGTGCATGTGGTGAACATTTTGCAGTAAAAACTGATCACACACAACAATTTTATGCACTCGCACAAATGCTCCCAAATATATTTTGAGGTCGCATAGATAAAATTTCGGGCACATATGTGACCAAAATGGTCGCAATTTCGAGCCCTGTAGTATTATGGTTGTTCTGAGTGTGCCAGTGTAGGTTCAGTTCAAAACACTATTCAGATTTGTTAATTATAATGTGTTAAAGCGTCATGTTGAGGGTGTGTACACAACTCGCTGTTTTAGGGGCGTGTTGCTTCACATAAAAATTGGTTTCGACTTCCTGCCCAACTTAACACGGGGGCGGAGCCCAGAGCTCCCCCGCTCTGTGTTTGGCAACAGACAGGCAGACAGAGAGAAGCAACATGAGTGAGAGGACCAGCATTCAGCCGTACATGTATGACTCGGACACAGACCAAGCAGAGAGTACTGTTGAGGAATCAATATTCATCTAATGTGCCAGAATGTGTCAGAGTGGTATTTACAAAATCATTTGTGTCTTAATATAGTTTTACAGCCGCTATGTGACGATGCATGCGTCATCCGTATTGGGATGCAACGATTAATTGGTTACACTATTAACCGCACTTTATTTCGTCATGGTAAATAATCGTAAAGGCTTCTCAACACTGTTTCTGCACGGAACAAAACTGCGGCAACTAAACAAAGTTCTGCCAACTGTGTGCTAGTTTAAAGTGCCAAGCTTGTACACCGAGACTAATAACCAAGCACACTGGATTAACTTTGACTATCACTAAAGCAAGTGCGTTATTTCCAAAGGAGGGAGGCGCACGCGAGGCAACACACTCACACTTTACAGCCGCACCTAGTTGAGGTGACATGGAGCTTCTCTGACTGCGGGAAATGCAAACGGCTGAGGTTTAAGGAAGATGCAATTAAAATAACACAGGTTTGCAAACAATGGCGCCAATGAGAGCGATCATGTGGTCAATGTGGAGTGTTTTCAGAGAGTGTGCTGAAAGACTTGGTGGATCAGCTGTTTTTAATGGCCCGAATCTCGATACGTTGCATTTACTGGTGTTCAGCGCAAATGGAATGTAAAGTATGCGTTGCTCATTCGCAGGAAGACGATGAAGGCTCTTGTGTTGAGCCCAATGAGCCCTACATCTAAAAACAGAGCAAGGGTGTTCCTATTGTGACATCGCTTTGACTCACACGTTGAAAATGGCAGATGTGAAACGACAAACTGAGGATGTGGTAATGCGCCTGTCAATTAATATTGGTGGGCGGGGGGACCACACTCCTACGTAAAGTTGCGGTCCATCTCAAAACCGATCCAATTGGTCCACCGTTTTTATGATGTTAAATTGAAAATAAAGAACTGTGTGTGTTTATATCCCCCCAGTATGATGTGTCTATACACTATATCTACACACGTCTGTCCGAACAGCTTGAAATGTCGACTTTTCACCATAGGTGCCCTTTAACACTCAGGATGCATGCAATGTCTGTGCACTATTTAAAATTTTTTTTTTATGCATTTACCGTGTTTTTATTTGATAACATTGCTATAACTACTGCTTTTAAACTCTCCCAATGCATGCAAAATATGCTTCAAAATGTTCATATTAAACGTTATGCGTTTATCTCTTTTTTTAATTGCTGCTTTGTAAGACTCGCCATGCATGCAAAATCTGTGCACTTTTTATCTTCATTTTTTTATATTCATTTATGCCTTTTTTTAAATAAAACTTACTCGCGTTTATTTCTCCTAATGCATGCAAAATATGTAACTTTAATACTTTTTAATACTTTAACATTAATATTAAACCTTTTATCCATTTATCTCTTTTTTTTTAAAGCATGCAATTTTAATATTCAAGTTTTTAGCCCTTTTTAAAATAAAAGTACTGCTATTTAACTAAAAATGTTCATATTCAAAATTTTATTAATTTATCTCTCTTTTATAATTGCTGCTGTTTAACACTCATCATGCATGCACAACCTGTGAACTATTTTATCTTCAAGGCGGCGCTGCAGATGGTGGTGGATAAAGGAGACCCGCGCTCCTACCTCGAGAACTTTGTGAAGATCGGGGAGGGTTCGACGGGTGTGGTGTGCATCGCTCGAGAGAAACACAGCGGACGCGTGGTGGCCGTCAAGATGATGGACCTGAGGAGACAGCAGAGGAGAGAACTGCTCTTCAATGAGGTGATACACACCACCAGCAGGATCCTTCACATGCAAATGCATCACTGTTGTCATGATCAATTTTTTATGCATTCAACACCTTAAAAAAAAACCCAAAACACAATTACTGCTTTTTAACACTTAACATCCAAAAATTCGTAGATAATTTGTAGCTTAAAGTTTTATGCATTTAGTCCTTTTTGAAATGAAAATGACAGCTTTTTAACTCTCCTAATGCATGCACATATGTTTAAAAATGTTTATACATTTACGTCTTTAATTTAAACAATTGCTGCTTTTTAACACTCAGCATGCAAAATCTGTGGACTGTTTTTTATCTTTAATTTTTATGCATTTAACATGCAAAATATGTACAAAAAAATCATATTTTTTTTTCCTTTTTGTAAAATTGTTGCTATTTAAAATTCAACCTTTTATGCATTTATTACTCTTATCTTCAAGTTTTTATCCATTTAACCATTTTTTAAAGAAACATGACTGCTTTTTAACTCAATACATGCAAAATATGTAAAAAAAAAATCATATTAAACGTTTTACATTTCTCCTTTTATAATGATGTATCCTTTTTATAACATTGTTGCTATTTAAAACTCGTGAAGATGCATGCAATATATGAGGGCTATTTTTATTCTCAGGTTTTTATGCATTTAGCCTTTTTTTTTTTTAAACAATTACTGCTTTTTAACTCTCTTAATGCATGCACAACATGTTAACTAATTCATATTAAACTAATTATGCATTGATCTCTTTAAAAACAAAAACAATTGCTGCTTTTTAACACTCAGCATGCAAAATCTGTGGACAACGTTTCTCTTTGACTATCATTTTTAAGTTGCAATGCATTTAGTCAATTTTTAAATAAAAAAAGACTGCTTTTAACTCCCCTAATGCATGCAGAATATGTTTTAAAAAGTTTTTTATGCATTTATCTCTTTTTAAAACAAAAACCAAAACAAAAGACAAACAAACACAAAAAAACAATAGCTGCTTTTTATCACTTATCATACATGCAACATCTGTGGAATTTTTATCTTGGATTTTTTGTGTCAATGCATTTAGCCTTTGTTAAATAAAAATGGCTGCTTTTAGCCCCCCTAATGCATGCAAAATATGTAAAAAGAAATCATACGAATCATCTTACACAATTATTCTATTTATTCATATTGCACTTATTATGCATTGATCTCATAAAAAAAAAAAAAATTCCTGCCTTTTAACACTCACTATTTAACCCTCACAATGCATAGAAAATCTGTGGACAATGTTTTATATTCTCATTTTTATAAATTGGTCCCTTTTTTATAAAGGGTTTCTGCTGGTTTCTTCAAGTCAAATTAAAGACTTTTTAAGACTCTTTTAAGACCATGATGAATGAAATGTAGACTTATACAGGGCAAAACACAATGTATTTTACTCTAATGGCCCAGTTACACCTGTAAATAGTTTTAAATGAATAGAAGATTATGTAGAGTGATGTGTTGCTTTAGTTTTTAGTTTTTAGAACCACACTGTTCCAGTTACTATGACCATTTATGTGAAGCTGCTTTGACACAATCTACATTGTAAAAGCGCTATACAAATAAAGCTGAATTGAATTGAATTGAATTTTCTTTCCCAGATTAAGAAATTTAATTTGGAGAATTTCCTTTAAACTTGTCTTAACAGCTGTTTTGAATTGCATTTCTTCGCAATAAAAACTTAAATATAAAAAAATTGTGTCATGTTGGCTTGATTGGCTAGCTTCACCTGGACATAGGTAAATTAAGACCTATTTACAATGATTTAGGACCTACAACACAATATTTCAGTCAGTTAAAAATTTAGCTTTTAAACTTAAGAGATTTTAAGACTTTTTAAAACTCAGCGGACACCCTCTAATAACATTGCTGGTATTTAATATTAGTAATACATGCAAAATCTGTGGACTATTTACATTTTTACCCTGCAATGCATTTGTCTTTATAACAATACTGCTTTTAAATTCTCATAATTCATGCCAAATATGTAAAAAATGTTCATATTAATATTTTTAATATTACACTGCTGATGTTTAAGACTTAATATGCATGCAAAGTCTGTTAAAAATATTAATTGAAAAGTTTTTTTATGCATTTATGCTTTTTTATAAAATTTTATTATGTTTTTAACACTCATAAAGCATGCAAAATCTATTTTTATTTTAAAGCTGCAATGCATTTACAGATTTTATTATAAGTTTTTCCTTAAAGCAAGCTAAATAATCTTGTTTGTCCTTTTCACATGAGATTATTTTGCTTGCTTTAAGGAAAAACTCGCTTCATTTTGGCATATTATTTCTGAAAACAAGACCATACGTTTTGCTTGTCTAGTAACTGCTTCTTGATGTAAGGATTTATAGATATTTGGACTAGAAACAAAACAAAAAGTCTAGATTTTTGCAGTGTACATGCATCTCTTCTGATGTTATAAGTGTTAAATCTACCAGCGTTCCCTAAATGTGTATTCCAAACACAGAATTGATCATTTAATACACATATTTGTTGGGCACTGATCTAGATTATGTCCCATCATGCATTTGTTGTGCTTATAAATGCATTGAATCACTTAAAAACATGCAGGTGGCTTTTAATGGCACTGCATTATTTACTGCAAGACACAGAAAGTAGCAGATGGTACCATAATTTACTTCGTTATCTATTCAAGTGATTCATTATTAAAATCAACACAGATTGCATTTTAAAGTATTGCTGTTCTGACATGGAATCAGATGAGGTTTTCTTAGGCAGTGTGTTTGTGCGTTGTGTACAGGTGGTGATTATGAGGGATTACCAGCACAGAAATGTGGTGGAGATGTTCAAGAGCGCTCTGGTGGAGGAGGAACTCTGGGTGATCATGGAGTATCTGCAGGGTGGAGCTCTGACCAACATCGTGTCTGAAACCAGGTATCAAAGCACAGCATCACACACACACACACACACACACACACACACACACACACACACACACACACACACACACACACACACACACACACACACACACACACACACACACACACACACACACAAACTCACTCACACACACACTCTCACACACACACACACACACACACACACACACACACACACACACACACACACACACACACACACACACACACACACA